TCTTCAATGCCCATTATCTTCTCTGAAGTAGATTGGTGTTGTCAGAAGCAGACATGTCTCCATGTCCAGAAAAGTCTAAGTTTTTTAAAACATTTTAAATGCCATATTCTGTAGGTTTGAAGATTATCTACCTAATTGAAATGTATCTATGTAACCTAGAAAATTTAACATGACTGTAAGTTTGACTATCATAGAAGACTAATTATTAATCTGTATTTTATAATTATCCATCACAATTTAAATGAGTTACATAAACATAATACCTTAAACAAGAGTAAAAATATGCATACAGAAAAAAATTAACTTTAAATTTATATCAGTAAACTAAAATCTATACCAATGTAAAACATTTTAAGCAAGTTGCTCTTTAAAAGTAGGTTCAATAATCCACCCTTTTATCCTATCATATCTATATCCTATATTTCTGTATCATATCCCCCTTTCTTCTTTTAGAAAGAGATTGACTATGACTAATAACAATTTGCAACTAATAATCAAACAAAGACAAACATCTCTAATCCATTTTTTGGGAATGTGGGCATAGTTTTCTAGGCTACTTCCTGCTGATAGAGGGCACTGTATTTTTATGGGGATCTTGAGAAAATTAAGAATTATGGTCAAGTTCTGACTGAAGTAGTCTGTGATGCTGTATTCCCTGAGCCAACTGCCTTGAAGTTGATATTGGATGTTGCATGATCTGGGCCATGGTGTCATTGGAGACCTTTCAGGGGGTCTTGACTCATCAATCCTGATCCATCTTAACCTGGAACAAATTCATAGTCTCTTGCTTTTTGTGGAAACAAAAGCAGAGCCTCCTTTTTAAAGCAATGTATCACAAGATCCAAATTTTGAAGTCAATATTCCTTTAACATATACATATGGGTTTAACTGATCAGCCTTTATAATCAAATGCCTCTCTGCAGTTAAAAATCCCAAAGACAATATAATCCAGAATCTCTGTGTAATATCCATCTTTACATGGCTTATTTTTTATACTTTTATTTTCTCTTTAAAGACTTTATTTTTTAAACCTTTCTAGTTCTTTATATAACTGTCTATATTCCCTTTCTGTTCTCTTTCAAGCTTATGTACATTTTTACACCCACAGTATACCATTTAGAGGTTTATTTAATCTGAATCTAACTTACTGTGAATCTAGCTTTTAACTGCAGTGGCTAGTACTGAAATGGCAGCTTTGGCTATTGGCTCTGCCCACCTCAGCTTTCCAACATGGCAGAATTATGTTTACCATCAACTTTGGGGGAACCATGCTCACCACCAGACTCTGGGAGGCAGTGGGTCTATGCCTCTATCAAAGCAGCAGTGTGTAGCACAGAAACATTTTTTTTTCTGTACTAGCAAAAGCTATATCAACCACTCAGCATAGTGCACAGCTTATAGATACCTGTGTGTACTATGGCATAGGTCAAGCCTTCAGGCCACAAACCTGTCATAGAGTAGTTCAAGCCTGCATGTTGCAGCTTCTCACCACCCGCATGAGACATGAAACAGGAACCTGGTTTGGACTCCATTTAGAATTGCTTATTAATTTGCAGATGACATGATAGTATACATGAGTGACCCCAAAAATTCAACCAAGGAACTGATACATATTACTCTTATTGGCTAATAAAAAAGCTGATTGGCTGGTAGCTGTTCAGGAAGAGATTGAGTGTGAGGGATGGACTAAAAGAATTCTGGGAAACGGAAGGGTGGAGTCATAGAGTTGCTGGCAAATGCTGAGAAGCAAGATGAGTATACCTTACTGAGAAAAGGTACCAAGTCAGGTGGCTAAGCATAGATTAATAGAAGTGGGTTAATTTAAATGTACCAGTTAGGTAATAACAAGCTTGAGCTTTCAGCTGAGCATTCATAATTAATAGAAGCCACAGTGTGGTAATTAGGGAAGTGGCTGCCAGGTATTTGGGAACTGGTAGTTAGGACAAGAAACATCCATCTACATTTTTCACTCAAACATCTGGCAATAAAACCTGTGAAAGCTTTAAAAAAAAGATTCTATGGCACATGACATTAATCCCAGCACTTGGGAGGCAGATGCAGGCGGATCTCTGTGAGTTCAAGGCCAGCCTGGTCTACAGAGTGAGATCAAGAAAAGACACAAAGCTACACAGAACAACACTGTCTCAAAAAACAAAAACAAAGCAAAAACAAAAACAAAACAACAACAACAAAAACAATGAAAGGATTCTAAACACATAAAAAACAGAGTCAAGCACAGCTTCTTAGCAGCAGAATTTTCTTGGGTGGGCTCTGTTCACTAGCTGTGAGCAGAGGTACAGCTCCTTTAAAAGATGGCTTCCCAATAAGACAACAAAAGGATATCACAGGGATACAAATTGGAAAGGAGGAAGTCAAGCTTTCACTATTTGCAGAGGATATGATCATATATATAAGTGACCCCAAAAATTCTGCCAGGAAACTATTACAGCTGATAAACACCTTCAGTAATGTGGCAGGATACAATATTAACTCAAAAAATCAGTAGCCTTCTTTATACAAATGATAAACAGACTGAGAACAAAATCAGAGAAACATCACCCTTTACAATAGCCACAAATAACATAAAATATCTTAGGGGTAATTCTAACCAAACAAGTGAAAACCCTATATGACACAAACTTTAAATCTTTGAAGAAAGAAACTGAAGAAGATATCAGAAAATGGAAAGATCTCTTATTCTCTTGGATAGGTAAGATCAACATAGTAAAAATGTCAATCTTAGCCAGGTATTGGTGGCTCACACCTTTAATCCCAGCGCTCGGGAGGCAAAGGCCGGCAGGGTTTGAGGCCAGCCTGGTCCACTGAGCAAGTTCCAGGACAGGCTCCCAATCTACACATAGAAACCCTGTCTTGAAAAAACCAAAACTGAAAAAACAAAACAAAACAAAACAAAAAAACTAATATGTTGATACCTTGACCAAACGACTGCTTGTCATCAATGTGATTTCTGTATCCCAGTAATAAATCATAAATACGTGTACTTTAAGACAGTTTTTTAAATAAACAAGAAAATTATGTTTAAATTTTATGTATTTGGGTGTTTTCTCTACCAGTAAGTGTCTGACATATATGGAGGCCAGAAGAAGGTGTTGGATACTTTAGAACTGGAGTTACAGATATCTGTGAGCTACCACACCTGTGGTGGAAATTTAACCAGGTACCCTGGAAGAGCAGCCAGTGTTCTTAACTCCTGAGCCATCTCCCTAGCCCAGTAAGGGTTTTGTAAGAATATTTTTTCATTCAATATCCATAGCATTTTACCTGTGCCATTTGGTAATGTTACTGGACATGTTTTCAGAGGTTCAAAGAAATTAGATAATATACCTGAAATAGAAGTCAACTGAATAAATGTTGAAAGTTAAACAAGAGTTAAGTCAATACAACGGCACTGGCAAGGCAAAAGGAGACAGAAGTCTATCATTGTCTATATTGGTACATGCATGTTAGTGTTGAAAAGAGAAAGAACTAAGGAAAGGGTTAAGAACTGTGTGTAGCTATGAAGTCTCAGTTAAAGGTCTGACTGCCCATTTTCTTATTTCTAGACTCTAGGAAAACCATTGTTGTTTTACATAAATTGTACTGTTTTCATCATTGTCTGTGATGAGATGATTGCTCATAATTGCTCAGGAATTTCATGGCAGCCTCACATCCCAAAATCAATCAGTTTCTCCCTCTTAGGGTTGGCATTTTTCCATCATGAGTTGATCTTCCTGAAAGGTTGTTTCTAAAGTCCAAGATGACCAGGATGTTAAAGCAGCAATGGAGATTTAAGAAGCATTTGCAGAATCAGGAACAAACTGTGTAAAGGATAACAGTTGTCCCAGTTTGAATGTAATTGGCCCCCATTACATTCCCATTATAATCTCATATTCTCATGGAGAGTGGCACTATTAGGAGGTGTGGCTTTTTTGGAGGGCATGTGGCCTTGTTGGAGGAAGTGTGTCATTGTGGGGGTGGGTTTTGAGGAATCATACACTCAGAATACCACCCAGTGTGTCAGTTGATTTCCTGTTGCCTGCAAGATTTAGCATTCTCAGCTCCAGCACCACATCTGCCTGCCTGCTGCCATGCTCCCATAATGGACTGAACCATTGAAACTATAAGCGAGCCACCCCTATTAAATGGTTTTTTGTATAAGAGTTGCCATGGTCATGGTGTCTCTTCACGGCAGTTAAGAACCCTAACAAAGACAACAATAAAATATAGTAGTTTCATCAGTCCTAAAGTGGAAAAAAAAATAGGTTAAGTAAATTTAAGACTAATCAACCTTGTCCTACCTGATTTAACATATAATCCTCTACTGATTGACATGCTTATATGCAAAATTGACCAGAACTCTGAAGCAAAAGTAAAGAGATCTACATAAAACAAAAGCACCGATACCAGGCTTTATCTTGTTTACAGTAACACATTTTGGGCACCTGAAAATTCAATGTGTTTAACAAAAGCCACCTCTATATCCCTGTTATAACAGCATGAATAAATGTAAATTAAGTTTACAAAATGAGATAAACTGTATTTTCAGATAGATGGCTAACTGTTAGAAAATAATGTTTTGAAAGAAGATTACACGCTCAAAATTCCTTTCAGGAAAAGTTGTGTGAGAGCCAGACATGGAAGTGGCCAACTAGAAGTACATTCTGAAAGACAGAGTGCAATGAATATCTCCTGGTACTCGATCTTGGACTTTCAAGCCACATACACATGGAGACCATGAATTTCTGTTATTCATGCCTCGGGGTCTTTATGCTGGACTGTGGAGAGCAGTGCACCGTCTTAACCCTCCTTCATCAGCTAAGCACCAGGAGGCCCCTCTTGGACACAGAAACAGCTTTGCTGCTTTTTATCCTTTTGTTCTGACTCCGGTAAAGAAGGAGGGGCCATCATGAAAATCCTCATAACTCTTTCCTCTGCCTATACTGCAGCACTAACCCAGACCTTTGCATATTGCTCCCTAGGGAGGACCCACCCTTCTTAGTCTGAGATAACAGTAGTCCTCTTGCAGTGACTGATCAGTCTCCTCAGACTGCCTCCTCAAAATGAAGCTTCCTGTTATGCTGTTGGTGCTGCTGGTGTTCAGGATTCCTGGTAAGAACAGTGAGAAAAGAGAATGTGTAGTGGGGATGAGTCCTGAGTCTCACTGCTGATCACATGGGTTCTGTCTATGTAGGGAAGATGGATTTTATCCTCCAGGATGGGGCCTGTGAGATTTACATCTGTGAGAGGGAGGACCCAGATGGGAAGGAACCTATATTACAATGAAGATTATGACACAGATGGACTGGGATGGTCTAAATAACAGCTAGAAGCCCCTTAGGGCTGTTAGTTCACTTGTTTTGTTAAAAAGCAAATTTTAGTATATAAAGATTTTTATGTAATATAAACATCTAAACTGAAATAAATTTAAAAAAATCAACTAAGTTAGTCCATGACTTTGTTCTTCTCTGTCTTTATTTCAGCTTCCAGAGGGGATGTTGTGCTGACTCAAACTCCACTCTCCCTGCCTGTCAGCCTTGGAGATAAAGCCTCCATCTCTTGCAGGTCTAGTCAGAGTGTTGTACATAGTAATGGAAACACGTATTTAGAATGGTACCTACAGAAGCCAGGCCAGTCTCCACAGCTCCTGATATACAAGGTTTCCAATAGATATTCTGGAGTCCCAGACAGGTTCAGTGGCAGTGGGTCAGGCACAGATTTCACGCTCAAGATCAGCAGAGTGGAGCCTGAGGATTTGGGAGTATATTACTGCTTCCAAGGTTCACATGCTCCTCCCACAGTGATTCAGACCCTAACAAAAACATCTTTGCTTGGGGTTGCCCAGCTGCCAAACCTGTTAATTCTCTGTGAGAGAGAAGTGCTGAGGAACTCCTCATTATTTGTTGCAGCTAAGGGCCTTGGAGCATGAGTACCATGGCTACACCTCACTGGTCATACATTTCTGGCCTCATCAGCTTCAATAACAATGATATTGCATTTGTCTCAGGAAAATGGTGAACATGTCTCCTTTCATGAACCAGGAATAATGGAGTTAAACTGAGTTAAAACCTATTTTTATTCTACAGGACTTGTCTGCCTGTCTGACTCAAAATTATCCATTAAAACAGTCAGGAACTGATATATATTCCTCTGTTAAACTGTGCCCTTGACTATATTTCTTTGTCAATGTTCTATTGCTATGAAGAGACACCATGATCATGGCAACTCTTGCTTTAAAAAAAGCATTTAAACAGTGTTTGTTCAGAATTTCAGAGGCTTAGTCCATTGTCAGGGCGTGAAGAGTAGTGGCATACAGGCAGACATAGGCTGGACAAGTAGCTGAGAATTCTGCATACAGATCTGTAGGCAGCAAGAAGAGCTTGGGCTGATTTTGGCTTTGAGAAACCTCAAAGCCCAATTTCAGTCATAGTTTCTGTCAGAAGGTCACATATCCTAATCCTTTCAAATAGTGCCACTCCCTGATGACTAAGCGTTCCAATCTATGGTCCTATGGGGGCCATTCTCATTCAAACCACCACATGATATAATCATTTGATTTGCCACATTTTATGGTTTTTATTTAAATTGCATTTTATTGACATAAATAATGCATACCCTACTCCATTTTATTTTCTATTTATGTAAAGTATGTTCATTGACTATGTCTTTACTCATGAAATGTTTCTTTTCTGACAAATTGTACTGTTTTCTCTATCTAACTGTTCATACTATTTGACTGCAAGATTTATTCCAATTATATGCACAGTTTTGATGTATAATAACTTATGCATTATGTTAGTATTTTCTGGTTGTTTTGAATATTTTCCCATGTTCCAATACTTTATGGTTTTGTGTTTTTATCTGTTGAGAAAATTTATTTTTGTCTCCTTAACTTTTGTGAATTTTAGTGAATTTAATGCAAACATTTTTTTTTTACTGAATTCTTTGGAATTTCAAATGGTAAATAATGATTTATTTTAGTTTCACCCCCATTATCTTCTTTCCTCTCTCATTGAAACTCTGTTCTCTATACTCCCCACAAACCATAATGCTTTCCTTGATTTAGTGAGTTTATTTTTCTTTTTGCTTGTATGAATATGAGTTGGGGGTTATTGACTGGAACCATAAGCTAAAGACAATGTGATACCCTTTCCGAGCAACCATTAACTCCTACTAGTCTGTCAATGAATAGAGCAGAGTCAGCCTCCCCTCCATGAAAATTTAAATGATGATACATCCAATCTTCTGCAGATCTTGCACCGGTAACCATGGCAGTGAGTTCAGGAGTGCAGTACAATGATCATGTCCAGAAAGCACTTTTCACAGAACTCCTTGCTATTCTCTGGTTTTTATGGTCTTTCTACATCCTGTTGTGAGACATTCCTTGAGCCTGGTTGGGATGATATAAATATCTTGTTGAGGGTAAGTGTGAGTACTCTAGAGTTATCCTTCATAATTTGAAAAGCAGTGAGGTTCTACTTTAAGGACCACCCACTCACAAAAAAAATAAATTTCTTAGATGAAGACTGACATCATAACAAATCTATAGGTATAAATATAACTATTTAGAAGCCAATTTGACACAATGCCTATTCAGAAAATACCAGTTGTAGGTTACTTCATAGAGCATATGACTTTCCCAGCCACGGACACTTAACTAGCTTTGCAATATCAGAGAGTAGTTCTCTGCTGGAGAGTGGGTCACAGATCCAATGAGAAAGCTCTAGGTTAGCTTCATGATAAGGATTATTGCAGAAGTTAGCATCCTGCCATACAGTTTGCCATTATTGTAGATTATGAATTCCACAGCTGAGCAAGACTTGATTGCTACTTTTCTTCACCAGGAGTTTGAAGAACTGCATCCAGAACTATGAAAGCTAGCCAGCCAGATGGAGAATTTCAGCTGAAATTATGTCTTTCATAATAGGATTTTATGTCCTAGTTATGGTGGACAATCAAGAAAACTAACAATAGCATGTATTGATTCCTGGCTTAGGGGCCTCCCTCATAAGGATGATCTCTATCCATGTGCTTCTCTATAATCCCTACATTGGGAAGCTGAGGCAGAAAGGTTGGAACTTCAAGGCCAGCCTGGGATTTGTAGGATATTCTAGAGAAGCCTGAGCTATTAACAGCAAGACTATGTCTCAATAAACCCCAAACCAATCAACAAAATTATCTGTACTTTTTTGCTCTATCCTATAAATCCTCTATATTTGCTATATACAAGAAATGCTTTCACTAGGATAGAAAAGAAGCCTGTAATTCTGAATCCACAGAGAAGTGATACATGAGCAAGTGTGAAACAGGAAATTAGGACCCTGTTGCTGTGCATCTCCCCTACTATATTCACTTCTGAAGTACTGGTTGTATCTTGTGTTCAGATTCCTGTTCGCGTGTGTGATCCTGATGTCCTATTAACTTTTCTATTGCTGGGATGAAACACCATGACAAAGATAACTTTTAAAGAAAGCTTAATTGGGTTTAGAACTTCGGATGGCTGGGTTTCATGGTAGCTAAGGGAAGGCATGGCAGTACGAACATGTGAAAGCTCACATATAGATCCACAAGCAGGAGGCAGAGAAAAGCTCATCCCCATGACACACCACCTTTTAATAGACCACAACTCATCTCCATTCCAAACAGTTCCACCAAGGCAGATCAAGTATTTAAACAAACAAGGAAGCCATCTCATTCAAATTGGAAACCTGGATACCAAGAAAATGAGAAGGGAGATGTATTTGATAAAGGATACCCACTAGATTTTGACCTTTATTTTTGAAAGAAAAATTCAAATCATCATTGTTGAATGTATCCTTTACAATGCCCCAGTATATAAAACTATAATAGAGAATAATCTGCCTTTGAACTGCTTAAATTCAGGAGATGGGTTGAATGTGAGTGCTAAAAAAGCAGAAAAACAATATAATATATTTTTTTTGAGACAAAGGCTACATACTCTAAGCAAAAGAAGGGAAATTAGTCTCTGATGGATGGACTCATTTTAACCAGTATGGGTTTGGTCATCACTGTCTAAGATATCCATAAAATAGCTCTCTAATATAAGAAGGGTAGTATTATAATGTATTATGTTGTCAAGGACAGAGGAATGTTGGTCAACCAAGTTAGACTCATGGAAATGTTAAAGTGAATTAGTCAAGTGTTGGTCATTAACTAAAACACCAGGATAAAATCTATTGCTCCTCATGCTTGTCACAGAGTCTTTAGTATCATTGCTGATTTAAAATTTATTTATTTTTCACAAACTGATTTTATGGTGCAGAGATTTTCATCTATGAGAGCAATTAAAATATCTAAATTGATCATATAATTAGGATGTATAACATTCAAACAGACATAAAATATTTACTATAGGCTGAGAAGGAGACATTGTGCATTGTAGGGTTATTCTACCATCTACATGTTTTCTGTGACTTGAATCTTACATAAATGATCCTGAATTCATGTTTTATTTTTTAAATTTATTTATTTATCTCTCCTACCATACATCCCAACCTCAGTTTTTCCTCCTTCCACTCCTCGTATTCCCCTCTCACCCCTCCCATCTCTCCTAGATCCACTGTTTCTCTGTTTTGAGAAAAAAACAGTCCTTCCAGGGATATCAGCTGAACATGGCATAATAAGATGCAAAGGACTAGTAACAAACCCGTCTATTAAGGCTAGACAAGGCAAACCAGCAGGAGGAAGAAAGTCCCAAGAGGAGGCAAAAAAAAGTCAGAGATACCCCTACTCCCACAGTTAGGATTCCCATAAAAAACTTAACCTGAAGACCACAACGTAGAGGACCTAGAAAGCCTATGCCAGCTCTGGGATTGCTGCTTCAGTCTCTGTGAGCTGCTGTGAACCCTGTTTAGTTGATTCTGTGGGATATGTTCCCTTTGTATCCTTGACTCTTCTGGCTCCTACAATCCTTCCTCCCCCCTGATCTCCAGTATTCTGAGTTTATTTGATTTAAATATTCAGAATATGTCAGGTGCGCTGACTTCCAACCTAGCTGTACTTCCTCTGAGTTTGTGTCTTCCTCTGATGGTTAAGGGACATCTAAGCATGCTTATCCTTCACAAGTTGAGCAGTGTGAACAATCTAATGTAGTTCCTTGATAAAACTGAAGTTGTCTAAAAACACACCACCCCACATTCTTTGACTTGGTGAATAGTTATGTGGAATCCCTTGCTGTTTCTCACACTAAATGCTGATAAATCTTTGATTTTCTGAGCATTCCATAACATATCCCACCATATAACATGATAATGATAATTATGTAATTTTAATTTGATAAATTAAAAAAGTGCAAGTCCTAAGATGTCATAGATTTACATCCTTTAGGGGGTGGTATAGAATGTAAATTCCATGGGCCTGTCCCATTGATGAATTGTAGAGGACTAGATTTAAAAATGACCCTTTATCTCCTTCCAGATTATATGTATATGTATATTATATCTTGCATATATTACAACCAATAATTACTCAGAGTGCTGAATAGGCACCCTATACCTAGTACATAACATTTATTGATGTGTCACATTACCTGAAAGACTTGATTATGATTCAGCCTAAATCAGGAGAGGGCATTTCAGCAGATTTAATTTTTGAACACATGACATTTCACTTGAGCCATTAAGCAACCTACAGCATATTTTTTAAGTAAGGATAATATCTTGATGAGGTCTGTACTATGTGAAATTCCTCAAGAGTCACTATATCAGCTGTTGTGATTTTAAAATAATACTGTGCCATCTTCATAAAATGCAAACCAAAAGCTCTTCACTGTGAAATAAAGATAGCTTTCAGCCTTGGAGTCCTGTTAGACAAGTTTGTGAACTTCAATATATGCTAGCTAGGCAAAACTGGATATGTTAGACTTACCCATGTTGAGAGTTTTATTGGACTGAACACTGGTCAATTTGT